ATTTGTAAATTGTGAAAATTTTAATTAATTTTTATAAATTTGTTATTGTGAATAGCAAAATAGATAATTGAATTCGTTTATTTATTTTGTAAGATTTTGATTTGTGAATATGTTAATATAATTAGGTATTTTGGTTATGTACTTATTTTTAAGGTTATAATAATTTTAAATTATTTAAATTTCAATATAGGATGCAAAGGTATTTTAAAAAGGCACCAAGGTTTAAAGAGAAAGAATTGAGTGAGAATCCATCAAATTTGAACGCAAATGCTTTGTCATCTTTAAATCATCCTCCGGAAACGTCAAATTTGAATCCAAATATATCATCATCTTTGGATTTTGAATCGTTAGAGGCTGATCCAGACTAAGAAAGAGAATTATAGATTATCATCCAAGTGTACAAGATGAAATTCATCGTTCTTATCTGAAAAAAGGGTCTTTTCCAACTTAAAACTCATAGGTTTCCTGTTACAGTAATGTCAGATTATAATCATAACTTTCGTCCAGTTTGGTTTAATGAGTACCCTTGGTTGGAATATAGCATTGCAAAGGATGCTGCATATTGTTTTCCATGTTACTTGTTTAAAAATATCAGTGATGTTGGTGCGGACCATTTTGTGGGTATTGGATTCAGAGGTTGGAACAAAAAAGATAGGTTTAGAAAACATGAGGGTGGACCAAACTAGACTTTATCATTTGTAAGATGTATTTAACATTTGCAATGTAGAACTACTTTGAATTAGTATTTTCAATAATATATATGAACTTTAATGTTATATATTGTAGAATATTGTTCATTTATTGTTAGAAGCGTGATTGTTGGATATAAATTTTCTAAATTACGACCCCATGGTATAAATGTTCTGGGTCCGCCCCTGAACATATGTTATGGGAGGTTCGGCAATGTCAAGAGATGACCTGAGGACGCTCCGGTATCCCGTTCGTAAATCTGACGGCTTCTAGTCCCCTAACCTCCCCGGTAAACCCCCACCCCATCCTGACCTAAACACTCCCACCCCTTCAATCAGGACCGGTCATGAGAATTCAACGGCCTGGGCCGAGACAGAAAAAATGGCCCTAAAGGCCTTATGCCTAATTACCTAATAAACTAAAGTATGTAAACTAATTATATTTAAATGAAAATTAACGTAAAAGTATTATAACAATATAAATAAATGAAAAAATCATACTCCCTCCGGTCCTAAAAATCTTTCTTGTTTTGACTTTTTTTAGTCAAACAATGACACCATTTGACAAAAAAATTAAACATAATCTAAATAAATAAATGATATAAAAATTTGATATATCAAAATTATATTCTAAAATGGACCCAATTATATTCAATTTATAATATGCATTCATACGTGGAGAATCACGGATCATAAAGAAGGCAAAAGCACAATTCCAATCCATTACTCCTTGATGGGTTAGTTTCCAGACAAATGATTAGCATAAACATACTGCCTTTATTTACAAAATAGCAAACAATTGACAGTATAAGGAAGCTTTTCATCTGAAAAAGTTATAATAAAATATAAAAACAAACAAGCGTGTTCTTTCAAGCCAATATCAAACAAAATAGAAAAAATTAAAAAAAACAAATAAATGCGCATTAAAAACAATGATAATAAATGATTGAGATGAAACGGGAACATACTACTCAAAATCATGGAGACGAAGGTGAAAGGTTAGATGGAATTTGAGAGATACGCCAGCGTGAATGGCCGAAGACTCTTCCGCCGCAGGAGACGCGAGAGGATGGCCGAATCTACAACTTTGGAAGTCGGACGCTTGAAATTCTGGAATGGACCGCTGGACGCGAGACAAAGTGTTACAGTAGGGAAACAGTTGAGCTTTTAGGGGAGAGTTGGTTAAGAAGTTGTTGAGTGGTTAGAGGTAGTTGAAGATATTTTCCAAAATATCTCCCCTTTAAATACCCCAAGATACATTGTACATTGATGTTGAGTAATGAAATAACTCTTTTCTACATCCTTCTTCTTCCCCCACTTCTCTGTCACGTAACAGAAGCTTTACAGCTTCTGTGTTTTAGCTCATCCTCGAAGATCTCTTCTCCATTACAAGATCTTCCTGCATTGACGCTAACATTGGTATCAGAGCTGATTCCATCCTGGCAAGAACAAGAAATCAATCACGTAGAGAACAAGAAACGAACATGGAGAATGTGCAGCACAATCAATTGAAGGCGATTCTGGAACAGCAATTGGCGTCTCAGAACCAGAAAATTGAGGAGATACGAGCGGAGCAACAGAATATGTTGAGCAAGATGATGCAAATCCTGGAGAAATCCAACAGTAATGAAAACAGAGTTGAATCTGAGGTAATCGGAAATGAAA